AGACTAGTCGTAATGTAACAATCTGATGGTTGTACCCCGAGCTATACCCCAAGAGCTTAATAACTCAGTGGTTCTTGACACCAACGCTCAAACATGATATCACAATAAAATGAGGAGACACACGACGACTCGCAGAGGTCGATGAGCACTAAAAGACGCACCACGCCACCTACGCTATGCGTCTAGGTGGACGCGCGGGGAATGCTTGTCTTTCAAAAAATTCTCGGTATAGATTTTTAATGGGGTCATGATGTATTCTGGTTATCTTGCAACGTGCTGAGTAGAAGACTTTTCCCATTAAACCACCTCCTACTCCCTTAATCTGACGCTTTCGTTCTCAGGATGGTTCAGGTACCTCGAATTAATTTTCGGATCTCGCGCCGTCCTCTCCCCTGCGGCGCACAGAGAGAGCAGTAGAAGCCGTCAAATTACACACGCGCTCGTGAGAATCCGCTATCATTATTTGTAGCTGAGTCAAGCAACAGTCAACTATGACCAGGCCGCACACCTCCATCCTAAATTGAGTAAGTCGAAGCTGAGAGATACATGTCTCGAGTGTTGATGAGACTCATTGGGAGGATCCGACTTGCCTAGGTTTAGACCTATTGAATCGAACCCCTGGCTAATCCTTACTCACAGCGTGATACTTATTCGATTTAGCAATATCTAAGGACGACAGATGGACTTAGTCAATCTCAGACACTTCTTGCTATGTTGAGCAAGACTGAGTTTCCTTACTACACACTGTATTTCTTCTGAAATGTAGCCAAGTTGTTTTCATTTCCAGGTTAAGTTTCCTGTCCGCGGCTGTGAGCTTCGCTTAGAATCAATTCGTTTCTTAGCCTGCGGGAGACTACATAGATAAATCAAATAATAACACTCAAAACACATAAAAAGTAAAAAAAACTAACAATATAAAAAATACAAATACAAATTTATCAAACACCACAAACGCTCCAAGCCGCAGTATGGCACCTGGGTAATATTCGCCAGCCACTTCTGCGGCAGGCGTCTTCTCCGCGACACAGAAGACTCAGTTAGCCAAATATCACATATAGGCTAATTAAACTCTCATCTTAATAATAGGGCACGGTATCACGCGTGAAGAGGATGGGTGCCGCTTGGGAGTATCGCTACCGTAGAAAGTTGTAGCCGAGAGAGTTTGCGTCTTACGTTTGAATTTTCTATGCTCAATTTTGATTCTAATCATGATTGGTCTATAAGGTCGCGCGTCTTTTCTCGAAAAACGCGATCTGAGATGACCAATTGAGCGAAATAAAACTGGATCATATTGAGGAGACGAAGGACGCACCTAGGCTGTGCCATGGATTCGCCAATGGACATGCTCTCGGCGGCTTCTCGGCAGTGCCACGTGGAATCCGGCCACCGTAAGGATCAACAGCGCACCCAGCACTCTAGGCGTTTGGGAGAAAGAAGGGGCTCTTCCCAGACACACCTGCACTGTTGTCCAGGACGCAGACACTCGCTATGGGTGTGGACGTAGCGGCTCCCTTCAGGATAAAGTTATTCCAAACAGCCTCTCGCTAAGTCTGTCAGTCAATGAGGTTGTAGACCTATTTAATCAAATGTCGCACCATGCGAAACCCCGGCATCAAGCACTACCACATTAGATCTGCCCACGGGGTCAGGACACATGGGGGAGACAGCACACGGCTGCGTGGGAAAGTGATGCCTCTCACCAGCCATCAGGCAGTAGCTGTGGGTGTGTGTGTGCAGATCACGCATGTATAAAGACATGCTATGCTGTGCGGCTCTAGATGCTATTCTTCAAGTCCTCCGTGTGGGTGCAGACCTGGGGCTGGAATTGGTCTGTAACTGGTGAGTTCCTCTCTGGCCCAATGTTATCCTCCGAGCCTTTCCAAGACCAAGAACGAGAGGGAAGCTCTCAGAAGAGGAAGCCATTGCGGGAAGAACCGGACTTGGCTGTTCTCTGCTGAGGGTCTACTGCCTTTCCTCCAAGGCTTCCTGGGGGTGCCATGGCCAGAGGAAGACACAGCCCCCCCCCGAAGGGCCCTGGGGAGCAAGCAGAGCCTGCCTCAGTTTCCTTCCCCAAGGCCTTGGAGGAAACTTGGGGTGCGGAAGGAGGAACCCCAAATGGAGCTCAGGCTCCTGGCAAGTGGGGAAAGGAACATGAAATGGCGCTTTCCAGATGAGTCTCAGAATCTCCCCCCAGGTCCAGGGACTGATCCACCCTGGCTTCCTCCTCGGAGGTCCCTTCCGAAGGAGAAGGGGTTCCAGGTCTCCATGGGGGAAAGCGTTCCTGAGGCCTGCGTTCCTGAGCCTTTCTGGCTCCAGCCACCTCTGTGCTGTTTATGGGAGCTGTAGAGATGGGATCCCAAATTTAATAAGGATCCCTCAAAAAACATGAGCTCTGCTTCAGCATGTTGTCCCCCCACAACCTTCTGTAAACTGACATGAAATTTGTTTTAAAATATACTCGCAATTCATTTTTTGTATATACAGTATATTTTATTTCCCCCCATATATGTTTATTGATTTTCCCACGTTTAACAGTTTTATGACAATATAATAGATCATCTTTTTGCCCTGTGCTCTGCTGAGCATTCGACTTCCCTCCCTCCTCCCTCTGGTTTACTTATGTCTTTCCTTTATTTTTCACATTCATAATATCTACACTCTTTGGCTTTCCTTCCCCCCACTTTTATCTCCAACAGAATGCTCATTCTATCTCAGTCCTGCTAGTGTTTTTTGTTTGCTGTTGCTTTTTTTACACTTCCTCTGGAACACTTGGTTGTCTTGGTTCCAGATCTGGACAGGTCCGCATGCTCCATCATCTTCATCTGCCAGTCTGCCACAGTTGGTCATTCCTGCCGTTTCCATTTTTGGGCGATTAAAATTCTAGCTGCCTTTGTGGAATACATAAACAATCTTAGATCTACTCTTGCTGATTCATGTTTTGAATGTTTTAAAGAGATGTTTCTATCAATAATTTTAGTGTTTCAGTCTCATTATAAATCACTTTCAGGTTTATTTATTTTTTAAATCCAGTCATGGATATGTAGGAGAAATTCAAAAAGAGGTTCCTAGACTGGAAGTTACCCACAGAAACCCAGAAGAAACGGAGGAAGTCTCCCAAGTGGAAAGATAGGCCTTTATTGAAATACAAATGGGCCTGCAAAGAACCGTATCCCAAAACGTGTTGCCACAGAAACTAGGGAGCTAGAGATGCTTTTCTGGCAGTGAGACAAAACGTCATGGCTAAAGTCTAGAGGGCAGAAACCGGAAAATGCTGCTTCCTTCTTGAAGGTTCTGTTATTTTCTGCTGAGGCAGCTAGATGTATGATGATTTGTGTTTTGTTATCTCAAGGTCACACTGAGCCAGAAAGATAAATCTGTCAGCTAAAAAAGCCTGTAGTCGAAAGTTCTTCTTTTGCCAATGAACTTTGCCTCTGCGTGATTTATTGGGAACCAGATGCATCCACTCCAAAGCAGCTTCTGCAGCGCCTTGGCATTGAAGACCCAGAAAAAGAGACGGAGGGGAATGTGTGGGTCACAAGGTGGGAGTCGTTGGAAAGGAGTCGCTGGGAGAGGCAGAAGGTTGTGTTGAGCAGGCGAGGGAAGAGCAGGAGGAGAGAGAAAGAGCCCCAGGGAAAGAGGAGGTTGGGCTGAGCTGGTGTGGGAATGAGAGGCAGAGAATGCAAAGCAACTCCGGAAATGGTGAACAAGGCAAGCTGTGATCTCGTTTGAGGAAAGGGAATTAAGATGCTTGCTTCCCCATCCCCAGTGGATTAAAATGTCCAAAGATTAGGGAAAGAAGAATGAAGAGGAAGCAGGATTGGATGAACATCATAAGAGTCCATAATTTTCCATTGTGACTTGGCTGAGATTCATTGGAACAGTTTTTAAAAGGCTTTATAGAAATTGGACCTAGAAACTGGAGAAATACTAATTTGGATTATTAGACTGTCTGAGTTGATTAAGATTTGAAAGCTGGGCTAGGGAGGGAGATGAAGGGAAAGTGTCATCTTGGTGAAGAGGATAAGAAGAAGAAGAGTTTGGATTTGATATCCCGCTTTATCACTACCCTTCAGGAGTCTCAAAGCGGCTAACATTCTCCTTTCCCCTCCTCCCCCACAACAAACACACCGTGAGGTGAGTGGGGCTGAGAGACTTCAGAGAAGTGTGACTGGCCCAAGGTCACCCAGCAGCTGCAGGTGGAGGAGCGGAGACGCGAACCCGGTTCCCCACATTATGAATCTATCGCTCTTAAGCACTACACCACTGTATACTAAATACAGCTGGGTTTATTCTGGAGTGCAAATTATGAATAATTGTTGCTGCAGATTATTTTCAGACAGAGATGGGAGTTTTCTTTTCGGTGCCTGCTCTGTGGAACACCCTCCCAGCAGATGCCAAAGGAAAAAACCACTACCAGACTTTAAAAAGACATCTGAAGGCAGCCCTGTTTAGGGAAGCTGTTAATATTTGATGGATTACTATATTTTAATATTTTGTTGGAATCTGCCCAGAGTGACTGGGGAAACCCAGCCAGATGGGACGGGTATCATCTATATTTTTTGTATTTTTAATATTTGTTATTAAGATTCCTTTATTTTGGAGGACACACATAGGAAGAGGACACTTGAAGGTGGGCGGGACCTGCAAGGAACGCAGGGAAGGAAGGATCTCTCAGGGTGGGATACGGGGAGAAGGGGGGGTCACGCAGGGGAGAAGGGGGGGAGCCTGCCTTTCCATGGGTTGACGAATGATATGATATATGATACAAATGCCATAAACAGTATTTTTAGTTTATATCCCCCCTTTCTCTTTTCTATACAATTGTATTTTGTAAGGGTTGTTTAATATTTTTTGTTCTATTTCTCTTTTTTGGTTTCTCCCCGGTATGTATTCTATGATGGCAAGTGAGACTGGCGCTATCAGTGAAGCTCTTTCCACATTCGAAGCACTGATAGGGTTTCTCCCCTGTATGAGTTCTTTGATGGGAAGTGAGACTATACTTCCGACTGAAGCCCTTTCCACATTCGAAGCACTGATAGGGTTTCTCCCCTGTATGAATTCTCTGATGCCTAGTGAAACTGGAGCTATCAGTGAAGCTCTTCCCGCATTTGAAGCACTGATAGGGTTTCTCCCTTGTATGAATTCTGTGATGGGAAGTGAGGCTGGAGCTATGAGTGAAGCTTTTTCCACATTCCAAGCACTGATAGGGTTTTTCTCCTGTATGAGTTCTTTGATGCGAAGTGAGGCTGGAGCTATCAGTGAAGCTCTTCCCGCATTTGAAGCACTGATAGGGTTTCTCCCCTGTATGAATTCTCTGATGCCTAGTGAAACTGGAGCTATCAGTGAAGCTCTTCCCGCATTTGAAGCACTGATAGGGTTTCTCCCCTGTATGAATTCTCTGATGCCTAGTGAAACTGGAGCTATCAGTGAAACTCTTCCCGCATTCCAAGCACTGATAGGGTTTCTCCCTTGTATGAGTTCTTTGATGCGAAGTGAGGCTGGAGCTATCAGTGAAGCTCTTCCCGCATTCGAAGCACTGATAGGGTTTCTCCCCTGTGTGAGTTCTTTGATGCAAAGTGAGCTTGGGCCCCTCCCCAAAGCTCTTCCCGCATTCCAAGCACTGATAGGGTTTTTCTCCTGTATGAATTCTTTGATGCGAAGTGAGATGGGAGCTATTAGTGAAGCTCTTTCCACATTCCAAGCACTGATAGGGTTTCTCCCCCGTATGAATTATTTGATGGGTTGTGAGACTATCCTTCCGACTGAAGCTCTTCCCACATTCCAAGCACTGATAGGGTTTCTCCCCTGTATGAATTATTTGATGGGTAGTGAGACTATCCTTCCGACTGAAGCTCTTCCCACATTCCAAGCACTGATAGGGTTTCTCCCCTGTATGAATTATTTGATGGGTAGTGAGACTATCCTTCCGACTGAAGCTCTTTTCACATTCCAAGCACTGATAGGGTTTCTCCCCGGTATGAATTCTTTGATGGGAAGTGAGACTATCCTTCCGACAGAAGCTCTTTCCACATTCCAAGCACTGATGGGGTTTCTCCCCGGTATGAATTCTTTGATGGGAAGTGAGACTATCCTTCCGACGGAAGCTCTTCCCACATTCCAAGCACTGATAGGGTTTCTCCCTGCTCTGTCCTCTTTTGTGTGTAGTGAGGCTATCCCTCTGAACGAAGCTCTTTCTTTGACGGGAGGTGTCCTGGGAGCTTTGACGGATGTTCTCTCCACACTCTGAATATTTATATGACTTCTCCACTATGTGGATTCTGTTGTGCTCCCCCTTGTTCTTCTCTTCTAATTCCTCACCATCTGCAATGAAGAGAGAAGCGAATTAGAGCCTCAGGAAGAAATAGAGCTCCAGATCATTGAACCAAGTTAATGAATGCTTGTGATAGAGGAAGAACTAAAAATAGTTAGATGTGGGGCCTCTCTATAGTTTTCACTGCCTTGGTTGGCTGGTATTTACTGACATATTGCTTGGCTTTTATCTGGAATGGATTTTGTTCTGGCTCAAACCTGGAATCCACTCCATCTCCAAATTCAGTCATCTCTTTGGTCAATCAAATGCAAACAGAAGCAAAAACAGAATTTACATCAACTTCTCTAAAAACTCTGAAGCCGGCATTTAAGAAGGCCTGGGTGGTTCAGAGAAGCCTGGTCATTGTTCTAAAAGGCATGACTAGACGCAGAACATTCACAGAGGACACAGTTGATATCCCTCCATTCTGGGTTCACGGTGGGGGGTGTTAGAATCCCAGATGCTGTTGGTCTCCAGCCAAAGAGTTGAAGTTCATCACATACAGGTATGTATGGAACGTCCACGTCTCGTCTGTGAAACAAACAGCAACACCTTCACCTGAACACTCCCCATCAGTTGTTGCCTCAATCTGGTTGGTCTAAATTTAAATTTATACATAAATCACTTTCTTCACTTTGAACCCCCCTCCCATGTCCATGAGGAGACCAACTCTGTATTTTTTCATTAGCAACAGAAGAGGAAACGTGACTATAACTCAGTTCAAACCAATTCATGAACCCAGAACTCATACACCGACCACTAATGATGAACCATGTTATAGATATTCCTGCCAATTTATTCTGCTATTTTTGATATGCAGATGGCATGCGAAGACTTAGTCTACATATTTGTATCATTTATTAGTCCTATGATCCTTGTTTTTAAAAGCAAATAAGAAGTTATTCCAAAAAGGAAAAGACAACACACAGAGGCCCCATCTGCATTCAAACTGCAAAGCAGGATCAGTGAGTTGGCATTCAGACCATAGAACTGGTTTTAGACCTTTTGAACTGCCAATATATCACAGTGACTGGGGAGCTGTGACCTATTCCTGGCTCAAATTGCCTGCAGATGACAAATGTGCAGGCAGGCAGGTGGGGGAGCCCGAAAAGGTGCTCCCCTTCTCCATCTCCATCCGCCTGCCTGCCTCCCCCCACCCCCTAGCTGAGGAAGCCCCAATTCCTCTCTGGCTCCATCCATCCAGGTCCCCATCTCCACTCCCCTGGGACTCACCAGATCTCTTGGAGGTCCCTGGGAGGGAACGCTCAGAGGTTGAGAGGAGGGATGCAGGAGACAACCTGACCAGGTCAACCGTCCATCTTCCCCCTTCCATCCTTGCTAGGTTTGCAGGATCCGTGTCTTTCATCCTTCCTGAGGAGCCGAGGAGCCAAAACAAGCTAGAGGGTCCTGGGAGAGAGGAAGAAGCAAAGGGAGCCTGAGGCCCTGCAGGGATTTTCTGGCTGGAGGGGAAGCCTCCCAATATGTTGGGGGCCCCACCCACAGCAAAATCCCTGCTTTATCTCATTTCTGGCCAGAGAGCTTCCCCTCTTCACCCCCCATCCCTCCAGGTCCCCATCTCCCCTCCCCTGGAACTCACCAGATCTCTCAGAGGTCCCTGGGAGGGAACGCTCAGAAGTTGTGGGGAGGGATGCAGGAGACAACCTGACCAGGTCAACCGTCCATCTTCCCCCTTCCATCCTCACTAGGTTTGCAGAATCCATCCCTTTTATCCTTCCTGAGGAGTCAAGTAGTCAAAACGAGCTGCAGGGTCCTGGGAGAGAGGAAGAAGTAAAGGGAGCCTCAGAGGCCCTGCAGGGATTCTCCTGCCCCTGGAGAAGCACAAATGGGGCGGCCCCTTCCCAACAGAAGCCCCATTTCTATACCTCTCCAGTGGTTCCAATAAATCAGGTAGGCTACTTGTGTGGCAATTAAAGACAAAACAAAAGGAGAGAGTAATAGAAAAATGAAAAATAATTGAAGATCCTCAAGAAATATGCAAAGAAAAATTAAATTACTATAGGAAATTTTTACAATGAAGAAGAAGACTAAGAGGAAATGGAATGATTCATAGCACAAAATAGACTCCCGCCAATAGCAGATTGGAAAATAGAACAACTAAATGTACCAACAGCGATGATGGAGGTGCAGCAATCTCAAAAGCAAAGATAGGAAAGTCCCCAGGTACGGATGGATTATCGGCGGCATTTTATAAGAAGTTAGAAGATATATTATCAGAACCAATGAAACAGTACTGGACCAAATTTTAAAGGAAGGAAGAATACCAAAATCATGGGAAGAAGCATTTATCACACTGAGACCCAAACAAGGAGCAGATCCAACACTAATCAAAAATTATAGACCTATATCATTGTTCAATCATGATTATAAAATATTTGCCAACATCCTAGCCAACAGATTAAAATAAAGTATTGAATGAAATAAAAAACAGAGATCAGGCTGGCTTCTTACCAGGCAGACACATGCACAATAAAATGAGAAACATGATTGATATTTTAGAATATTTAGAAGCACGATCAGATAAAAAAGCCATTTTGATGCTGATAGACACGGAATAGGTCTTCGACAACATCTCTTGGAGCTCCATGAAAAAAACTACAGAAAAAACAGGACTCGGAGAAAATATTATTAGGGGTGTTGAGGCAATATATTGAAATCAGAGAGCCAAATTGATGCTAAATAGTGAAATAAGAGAAGAATTTAAAGTAAGTAAGGGGACCAGGCAAGGCTGCCCCCTTTTGCCTCTACTTTTTATTACGGTACTAGAATTCTTAGCAATGACAACAAGGAGTGACCAGGGCATAAAAGGTCTAACAAGGGGGAAGAAGTCGCACAAGATGAAGGCCTTTGCAGACAATGTAATTCTAACTACTGAAAATCTGGAGGAAAGCATACCAGAAATAATAGGGAAAATCCTTGAATTTGGAAGTGGCAGGATTTAAATTAAATAAAAATAAGACTAGTATGCTAGCAAAAAAATATGTCAACAAAGGAAAAAGAAGAACTAAAGAAAATATCAGGATTGGGAATAGTAAATAAAGCTACGTATTTCGGAATCTGGCTGACAAATGAAAACACCAACCTATTTAAAGACAATTAAAACCCTGATCAAACTGCGGGAGGCAGTGGAAGACAGGAGTGCCTGGCGTGCTCTGGTCCAGGGGGTCACAAAGAGTGGGACACGACTAAACAACTAAACAATAACATATTAAAACATGGAAAGAAATCAATTTTGAATCATATAATAAGAAAATTGATATAGAGTATGGGAAAAACATAAAGTGGTGTTAGAACCTAAAACCCCCTGGTGGATTTCACCTCAAGAAGCAATAACTGGGGGGGGGGGGATATGGAATTGAATTGGGCCACTTTCACTGCCTTGTTGTGACGAAGGGGCTTGAATAACTCAGAGACGCTATGAGCTAAGCTGTGCAGGGCCACCCAAGACGGACAGGTTATAGTGGAGAGTTTTGACTAAATGTGATCCACCTTGAGCAGGAACCGGCAAGCCACTCCAGTATCCCTGCCAAGAAAACTCCATGGACGAAGGCAACAGGCATATAAAAGTTATGACGCTGGAAGATGAGCCCCTCAGGTCAGAAGGCGTCCAACATGCTACTGAGGAAGAGCAGAGGACAAGGACAAGTAGATTCTGAGCTGATGAAGCAGCTGGGCCAAAGCCGAAAGGTAAATTGGATGTGGTGACAATGAGATGGCAAGAATAAATATTGACATCCTGGACATCAGTGAACTAAAATGGACAGGGATGGGCGAATTCAGTTCAGATGACCATCATAACTAGTACTGTGGGCAAGAATCCCGTAAAAGAAATGGAGTGGCCCTCATAGTCAACAAAAGAGCGGCGAAAGCTGTACTGGGATGAAATCTCAAAAATGATAGAATTATCTTGATATGAATCCAAGGCAGACCTACAAGAAATAGAGTACAGATTTCCAAAGAATAGCAAGGAGAGACAAGAGGGCCTTCTTAAATGAGCAATACAAAGAAATAGAGGAAAACAATAGAATGGGAAAAACCAGAGATCTGTTCAAGAAAAT